CATTGCCTTTCTTTGGGATTGGAATGAAAACTGACCTTTTCCAGTCCTGTGGCCACTGCTGAGTTTTCCTACACTGCTGGCATATTGAGTGCAGCACATTCACAACGTCATCTTTCAGGATTTGAAATAGCTCAACTGGAATTCCATCACCTCCACTAGCTTTGTTTGTAGTGATGCCTCCTAAGGCCCACTTGATTTCACATTCCAGGATGTCTGGTCTAGGTGAGTGATCACACCATTGTGATTATCTGGGTCATGAAAATCTTTTTTGTACAGCTCTTCTGTGTATTCTTGCTACCTCTTCTTAATATCTTCTGCTTCTGTTAGGTCCCTACGATTTCTGTCCTTTATTGAGCCCATCTTTGCATCTGCAACATCAGGAATTTTTTAAAGTAACAGATTTTCATTTTTTTCAGTTTTTTTTGAAGTACAATTGACAAAATTGTAAGGTATTTTAGTGCACAATATGATTTGATATGCATAGACACCGACACTGTGAAAGCATTCCTCCCATCACATTAACACCTTTATTCTTATATGTGAAAGAATATTTAAGTTCTACTCTCTGAGCAAATTTCAAATATGCAATACAGTGTTATCAACTATAGTCACCATGTAACACACTAGATTCTATCAATAAGACCTTATTCATCTTATAACCAAAGGTTTGGACCTTTTTTTACCAACTTCTCCCTGTTTGTACCGCTCCCTGGCCCTGCTGGTCACTTATCTACTCTCTGTTTCTATGACACTGACTTCTCTTTTTCCCAAATGTAAGTGAAGATCAAAAGGAAATCTATAGGTAATATTTCAGGGATCACGATTGTTGGTTGTTGTGGTTGGCGTAGTTGCTCCGTCATGTCTGACTCTTTGCCACGCACGTGCTGTGGCCTGCCAGGCTCTTCTGTCCACAGGAGTCTCCAGGCAAGAGTATCGGCATGCTTTGCCACGCCCTTCTCCAGGGAATCTTCCCACCCAGGAGTTGGCGCCAGGTCTCCTGCACTGTAGACAGAGTCTCTCCTGTCTGAGCTATCAGGGACTCCCCTTAGCGATCATGGTTAGATATGTTTTAACTCAGTCTATTTCTTAAGATATGTGGCAACATGGAAGCTTGGGTGACCATCAGTTCTAGCTCTGAGTGCCCCGATCACATGACTGCATGCAAGGATTCCCCCTGGTCCTGTGATGAGAGGTTTGTATTGAACAGTCTTTCAGAACCTGAAAGGCTTTCAGTAGAAAGACTGAAGAAAGTTATGCAAGAACCACACGTGCAAATAAATAAACATAAACCATATCATAGGGAACTATCAGTTCATAGTCAACTGTTTGCTGTGCTGGAGGTAATTCTGTGAAATACCAGGATTACCTGAGCACCAACTTTAAGATGAGTCATTAACCATGGCTCTAATCATTTGAGTTCAAATAATCCTTTAAGAATCTGATTTAAAGAAAATAATCTGATGAACACAATGAACAACTTCCCTAAGAATAATAGACATTACACATTCCCTTAAATCTGCAAAAGCCAATATCAAGAGAATAACAAGGCAAACTATAGACTAGGATAAAATATTGGCAAAGACACATCTGATAAAGCACTGTTATGCAAAACAAAGAATTCTTAAAACTCCACACTAGAAAAATAAACAACCCAGTTTAAAAAAGACCTTAAGAGGAATTTCACCAAGGAAGATGCATAAATGGCAAATAAGCATATGGGAAGATGCTCCACATCATAGATCATTAGAGAAATGCAAATTAAGGCAATAATGAGATACTACTACACACCTATTCGAACGGCCACAGTCCAGGATGCACACACCAAATGCTGGCTGGGAGGTGGAGCAAAAAGAACTCTCATTCATTACTAGTGGGGATGCAAGGTGGTATGTTCACTCTGGAATACAGTTTAGTGATTTCTTACAAAACTAGCCATCAATCACCTCCCCCCTCAGTATTCTCCCAAAGGAGTTGGAAGCTTATGTCCACACAGATGCCTATATACAGATACTTGTAGCAGCTTTTTTCAAAACTGCCCAAACTTGGAAGCAACCAGGATGTCCTTCAGTAGGTAAACAGGTAAACAGTGATGCATCCAGACAGTAGAGTGTTATTCAACACTACGTCATGAAAAGACTTGGAGGAAGCTTGAGAAGTGAAAGTGAAAGTCACTCAGTCATGTCCAACTCTTGTGACCCCGTGGACTGCAGCCCACCAGGCTCCTCTGTCCATGGGATTCTCCAGGCAGGAATACTGGAGCCGGTTGCCATTTCCTTCTCCAGGGGATCTTCTTGACCCAGGAATCGAAGCCCAGGTCTCCTGCACAGCAGGCAGATTCTTTACCAACTGAACTACGAGGAAAACCCTTTGCGACCCCATGGACTATCTTAAATGCATATTATTAAGTGATGTTGGGAACGATTGAAGGCAGGAGGAGAAGGAGACGACAGAGAATGAGATGGTCAGATGGCATCACTGACTCAAGGGATGTGAGTCTGGGAAGGCTCCGGGAGCTGGTGATGGACAGGGAGGCTTGGCGTGCTGCGGTTCATGAGGTCACAAAGAGTTGGACGTGACTGAGCGACTGAACTGAGCTGAAGTGACATAAGCCAATAGAAAGGGACAACATACTGCATGATTCCAACTATATGACATTCTGGAAAAGGCAAAATTATGAAGGCAATAAAAAGATTGGTGTTTGCCAGCGGTGGTGGGGGGAGAGATGAACAGGCCCAGCTCAGAGGATTTTTAGGTCAGTGAGTCTCCAGGATATTCTGCTGATGGACATATGTCATTATACATTTGTGTAAACCCATGCAATGTGCAATGCCAAGCCTGAACCCTAAGGTAAACCGTGGACTTTGAGTGATTATGATGTGTTAATGTAGGTTCATCCTTGATGAAAAATGTGCGATTCTGCCGAGGGATGTTGATGATGAGGGAGACTGCATGTGTGGGGTGAGTAATACATGGAAAATCTCTGTAACTCCCTCTCAATTTTGTTGGAAGCCTAAAACCACTCTTTATTGTCTTAAAGACATAAATACATCTGCCCAGCTGATGTTTCCTGAAGTCTATTTTCAGGATGACATGATGAAATGGGAAAAATTACTATTAAGGCAGCACCTTCAGTATAATAGCAGAAAATTGTGCCCTCACATTTTCTCATGGCACCCAGAAATGAATCATTTCTGAATTCTTTTATTTATATAAAAGTCATCCTTTATGGCTTAAAGCCAACTAAAATAAGTCAAGCAGAGTAGTGAAGAGTGGGCAGGACAGATGCAGAACCTCTTTAGTAAGTATTATAAATCGAGGAAGAGCAGGTGGAAATTTAAATCGGTGTTTTCTGAAAGAAAACATACATCCTTATGTTCAGAAAGTAGCCTGTGCTATCCTGCACGGATGGGACCATTTTCAGGCAAGATCATGGAGAGACTGTAAATCAAAAACAGCTGAACACACTGCCAGCCCGTACTGAACCACGCGGAGAGCGTCCGCTGACTTAAGACAGGAGCAGTTTTACAATATGGGAAAGCAACAGCAAGGAGAAGAGGGATGCTTGTGCGAAAATGAAGCAGATATCTGCAGTCCACAGAGAAAATGACTGTTCAACATCAGCTCTGGATTGAAGCCCTGAGAATAGTGCACTTCAAGAAATAACTTACCTGAAGAAAATACGCAGCATAATTTGGTTTGTATGCTCCAGGGAAATTGGTGTTCTCCACAGCCTCTGAAGGTAGGTCTTCAGCACAAATTCAAACTGAATGTTAGCACAATGGCTCTGAAAATAAATTGACATATGTGTATGGTCCATTAACTTTCTGCAGTAAATCTGTCTAATGGCCACATCTTGCTCTGACAGTTTTTTTAATTGGATTTCTCTGACGAGTTTAGTACATCAGGCTAAATGTTCCTTATTCAATATAGCCATCTAAGAAACATGTCCACATCTGTTGTATCTAGCCACCCCCCCAAAAAAGGATAATTTAAGCTGGATACTGAAAGACAGGCATAAAATGGGTACGTAGAATTTCAGAACTAGAATGGGCACTAGTTTTCCAGATAAGGAAACTATAGTCAGAAGAGCTAAGAATAGGAGTCAAAACTAGGTCTCAAGTATTCTGTGTTTTCCATCTTAGATAGATACGTACATAGACAGATAAATATAGATATTCTACTTTCTTAGAGGTGATAGACAAGTCTTTAATTTTCTCTTTAAGTTATAGGCTTTAAGTTACTACCTTTCTTAGAGATAATAGAAAAAAATTTTTTTTTAATTTTCTCTTTATCACCTCCAGTTTAAGACTAAGATTCCTGTTTGTTCCAAATATGTCCTGTGAAAAAATGACAGAAATCCTATCAAACTTCATAAAAATATGAGAAGGAAACCATCTCACGTCTTTGGGAATTTGCAGAGCTCATGGAACTGGATCCAAGGCTTCAAAGATCTCATTAAAAATTATCTGTACTCCCCATGTCATGTCAGAGATGATGAGCTGCAGCCCAGCCTAGCGGGAAATGTTCCTCTAGTCCAATAGCAACAAATGCTCTGGATTAGACAGTGACTGACCTGCCAAGGCGTCTCATGTAAGTCTTTGCAATTATAATTTTTATCATTCTGTTACTATTTGAGACTTGATGAAGCATTTTTTAAAATTTGTTCATTTATTTTTATAGAATAGTAGAAAATATTAGAATTAGTAGAAAATATTAGTAGAAAATTATTAGAATAGTAGAAAAACTACCTATTTTATTGAATGATTTTAATCATTTAGACCCTGAGGCCTTACTGACTACTGGGCCATATCATGCCCAGGGTAACTTTGAAAATAATCTTGCCATTTTATCCAACGCTAAGTGCCAAATTTTGGACATGAGTTTGAGCATGCTCCGGGAGTTGGAACGGGCAGGGAAGCCTGGCATGCTGCAGTCCATGGGGTCACAAAGAGTCAGACACAACTGAGCAACTGAACTGAACTGAATGTAAAATTATTTGGAATGCTAGTTATCAAAACTTTGGTATATTAACATTTTAATGTTAATATAGCTAAGTTATATCATGACACTTTAATCTCCCTTACCCATAGTATACAACCTGTACGTAAATTCTCCCAGTTCTGCTAACAAAAATATTTCTTTAATTCACCACTTAAGTCCAATACTTCATCATCTTTTGTGTGGTTAGGTCCATAAACCTCTAACTGTCCAACTGTCATCCCCACTACAACTGAGAGAACTTTTAAAAACCTAAGACCTTATTACCCTTTAAAGCAACAACAAAAACTCTCCCATCGTTTCCCCTTATATTTGAAATAAAACCAGAACTTTACCATGACCTACAAGGCTCGGAAAGGTCAGGCCTTTGCCGCCTTCGCACTGACGGCCTCTGTCCACTACCATGCTCACTGGCCTTCTTTCACATTTTCAGTAGTCCAGATTTGTTCCCATTTAGGGCTATTATCTTCCTCTCTCTACATAGAATTTCTTTCCACTGGATTCTCCCAAGGCTGGCTCCTTTCCTTCAGGTTTTAACATGATTTTGTCACATTGCCCAGTCCCAATGGGCACTTTTCATATCTTTGAAGTTGTGCAAACCACCAGTACATGATGTTCCTCTATATTCAGCTTCTCAAAGACTTTTCTCAGTTTTAAAGAGGTACCTTGTATTGTCTCTCTCAAAGCATCCTGTTCCTTACCTTTTATATCTCACCACAATTTGTAGCCATAATAGATTTGTTTATCTGTTTGTAATGTTGGCCTTCCCCACCCAACTATGGTCTGTGAGAGCAGGAAATTTATTTTTTTGATCATCACTACATTAATATATTCAGTATTTGGCACAGAGCCTGGCATATGGCAGCATTTAATAGATATTTGTTCAATGAATGAATGCACAAATTCTTCCACCTGCAAGATACATAGATTCAAATCAAGAACTGCTGAGAAATGAACTGAGGCATACTAAAAATTTTAAGAGTTCATTTAAGCAAAATCGATTCCACTGGGGCAGCTCCACGCGGGAAGTGGTCAGGCGGGCTCCACCAACAGCAGCTGAGGGAACAGACTTACAGAGAAAAGGCTAAAGAAAAGCAAGGAAATTGTTTGAATGGCTATAGCTTAAGCATCTGCCTTGTTTGGGGAGGCCTAGTTGACTGTTTATTATGGATTGTCCTCAGGTTTTTATTTCCTAACCTTGAGGCATTTATAGGTCTAAGTTTTGGTGTGCTTACAAAGACTGCTAAGGTCTTAAGACCATCCCAATCTAATGTCCTCCTTGTTTAGTTAATTTAATAGAAGGAAAAGCCAAAATATAATTAGGCCAGGGACCCATAAATTTCCTTTGGGGCACAGATATTGTCAGTGCCCAGTGAAACTGACTCAGTTGTGTCCAAATCTTTGCGACCCAAGGGACTATACAGTCCATAGAATTCTCCAGGCCAGAAAACTGGAGTGGGTAGTCTTTCCCTCCTCCAGGGGATCCTCCCAACCCAGGGATCGAACCCAGGTCTCCTGCTTTGCAGGTGGATTCTTTACCAGCTGAGCCACAAGGGAAGCCCAAAAAGATTTTCTAAAAAGCCCAAACAACTGAGTCTGATAGAATGTCACCTCCTTAGTCAGTGAAAACAGAAACACATTCAAAGATGGGGCCCCAGGGGCTCCTCTGGACCACAATGAGATCTTCAGCACATGGTAGGCACCCAACACGTATTTGTTGAGTAAATAAACGTATATGCAGAGCAAGTATTACATCACCACCCACCCCTGACCTTTGCAACCAAAGGGGGAACAGTGACCCAGAATCCATCCCAAGTACAGCATTTGCCGAGAGTCAGAGCAGCCAGACTGCAGTTCTTTGTCTGCACTCACATTGGGCACAGCAACCACAGTCAGAAGCCAAGCCAATTCAATCACAGAAATACGCCTCAGCCAAGAACTGCTTAACTAAATGGAGCCTATTTCCTGTCATCTACAAACACAGGTGTCTAGAGGACAAACCTGAAGAACAGGTAAATGAACCAAAATTGCTCCGTGGTGCTCTCTGCACACCAGGGTAAATGTGGGTCAAGACTCTCAATCCAACTTGCCCGCCTGCTCAAACTCTTTTAACATCTAACTTGAAACTCACAGGGCTCTACCATACATTAAAAAAACTGGTTATTTCCCTCATTTATATGGCGTTTTAAAAGAATTGTCAAACATGGTTTACTCTGCCATGCACCGTTTATTCAACTAATTATGTTATCTCTCTCTTTCAAAGAGTTCTAGGCATGGAGATAAAAGCAAAAGTGCAGAACATTCCACTTCAGTGATGAAAATTAATGGGAATAGTAAGAGGGGGAAAGATGAATGATATTTAGAAAAAGGAAAGGAATGGAAATTATTTTAAATAACTGCAGGTGGAATGGAAGGTTAATTGCAAAGTCCAGATGTTACTGATACTCGTATCTGTGTTCACCTGGCACCAAACCACACCCCATTCATTCTCCGAGAAGGCTACTTTCAACTAAAGGAGTGGCTGAGATTGGGGAAACAACTGTTTTGGGGGTTTCACATCTATTCCATGCTCTCAGTATGATCTCCTGGTAAGATGGCATTTAAGCATCTGTCCCAAACAATCTTCTCTACGTAACTGTGTAACCCGTGGAGAGAGGCTGGCCATTTCCACAGAGGTCTTCTCCAGGCGTAGGTGAGGCAAGTAAATCACACCCAAACACAGACTAACAGCTGCATGAAGACATGAGACCTTTGTCCTCTTGAACTTCTTTTTCGAGGTGAGGAGAGAGCTGAAAATGCAGTCACCAAAGGAATAGCATTGTGCTTCGTCCTTGACATCTGCTCCTCCTGGGTGCTTAAGCAATTAATCTGATCTGCCAAATGAGTCTCAGATGAGTCATTCCAAAGGAGACACTCCCCAAATAAACCAGTTCAATAGTCCTAATACTTCACCTTGGTGAAACTTAGCAAGACATGAAATAACAACCCTAGGTAAAGGAAAGCAATCATGATGAAGGTATTTTGGTAATTCTGATCATTATTTTTTTTGCTTTTCTGATCATCTGTCTTAAGTTCTCTCTCCAGAACTTACTTCAGAGTTATGGAGAACTATTTTAAGACAGAGATACCTCAAAGACTATTATTTGGTTTGATATTATGTGGGAGCGGGTTTCTTTTTTCAAAACAAACAACTTTTTATTAATTTATATAATTAATTTTCTGGTTGATTTACAATGTTGTGTAAGTTTTAGATGTACAGCAAAGTGATTCCATTGTAAGTACATATATATCTATATTTTTTCAGGTTCTTTACCCTTATAGGTTAGTACAAAACATTGAGTATAGTTCTCTGTGCTATATGAGAGGTTCTTGTTGGCTATCTATTTTATATATAGTAGTGTGTATATTGGTGTTGGAGAAGACTCTTAAGAGTCCCTCGGACTGCAAGGAGATCCAACCAGTCCATCCTAAAGGAAATTAGTCCTGACTGTTCATTTGAAGGACTTATGCTGAAGCTGAAACTCCAATACTTTGGCCACCTGATGCGAAGAGCTGACTCATTTGAAAAGACCCTGATGCTGGGAAAGATTGAAAGTAGGAGGAGAAGGGGACGACAGAGGATGAGATGGTTGGATGGCATCACCGACT